GGATTGGCATCCCATCCTCAGTGTCCCCTGCCCTGTGCCTCCATTGGCTCAGGGCTCATATCAGCACTCTTACTGAACAAGTGGTTTAAAGATGGTTGGATATTTCATTGTATTGTTATGTTACAGACACACATTACACATTTATAACACTTTACTATTAAATTAAATATTGAAAAAGGCAGAACAGCAAGCCCCCCCATGATCATCAATCACTGCCTTGTGGGGGAGAGAATCCAGTGTTTGTCTTCAGCTGAACATGTACACAAGCCAGCTGCTGGTGAAACTGGTAGCCCGTGTGGTAGAATCCAGCCTGAGGGCACCAGCATCACGCGGCTCTACGGCCGGATGTCTGTCCATGAGCCACGACGCGTGAAGGTGAGAAAAGGCTTTAATACAACACTAACACTGAGCAAATACTAGCACAAACAATAATTACATCTTAAACCCAATTTACAAGCTGGATCTTTCATGGCACCACCCAGCCCCCCCCTCCGCCTAATTTATTTATCTTCCACAGGGGGACTCATTTAATAATTTAGCACAAACTCAGAGTAAGTGCCGGGCGGAGAGGCGCTGTGATGTGTCCCGGGGAGATGGTGTGGAACACTGGACTGGCGTTTTTTTTATTTAGGATTAATGCTTTCATTTATCCTGGGCTACTGTGAACACGGACTCTGCGTCAAACAGAAATATCACTGATACTAGAGAGGGTACGTCACCCTGGCCATTGTAGAGGGGTTTAAATCGCCATCCAGAAGAATTCACTGTCACCCTCATCCTGGCATTACAACATTGCAGCACTATTGTGCACCATTTCCTTCCCTTTCTGCCTCCATTTTCCCGCTCATGATTTAATCTCAAACCGTACTTTGTTTTTCGCTTCCACTACGAAGGGGGCCATGGCAGACGGGGAATAAAATTGAAAAAGGACACCAGGAGGCTTCACCTTGATTGACTGACAGTCAGCCTTGTGGCTGTAAAGACTGGGGGGGTGCCTTCATCCTGATGGATTTTCACTTATAATCACATTACATAGCAGTGAGCTGAGAGATATGGGGACTTCGGCATGGGTGATGAATAAGAGCAGAGATACAGAAACAGCTAGCAGAGGCCTGGGCTCTTTGTCTTTGAAATCACAGCTCTGGAAGGAAGCCTAGGCTATTTACCGAGTTAAGGATAGATACACACAGTCACAGCCCTTGGCATTAAGAGGCATTCTGACAGACACAATTTCTAGATAGATATATTTATAGATAGAAAATATATATTTATTAATCTGAGGCGGAAATTCATTACGACGTACGAGTTTATAACTCTGGCAAACTCAACCCTCAAATGTTTAATGTACTCTGACAGACTCAGCCCCTTAATCTATAAGGGTATCTGACAGACTAACCCCTTAATCTGTAAGGGTATCTGACAGACTAACCCCTTAATCTATAAGGGTATCTGACAGACTAACCCCTTAATCTGTAAGGGTATCTGACAGACTAACCCCTTAATCTATAAGGGTA